GGCTGCTACGTCTTGCCCTTCTCCCCTCGTCTAGAGCTCTAACATACCCCGATACAGTGTTCCATCCTCGTCCAGGAACTGGTCTCACCCCTCACCCAGCTTCCCCTCATCCTCAAACTGAGGTTTCCCCTCAATAATGCATTTCTCTCCCCCCGCAGCACTCCGAAACCGTCCTTCCTTCTCCTTACCTCGCATTTCGTCATCCCCAGCCATTATCCCTCTACCCCTTCCCCATCAATATATGTCGAACTTACCCGCCGAAGCCGCACTTCCCTTCGTCTAGGGCTCTAACGTCCCCCGCTACGGCGTTCCCTCCTCCCTCGGGAACCGATCATAAGAGTATAGGCAGCCAGGCCCTCCTTACATTACCACCTTAAGAGGTAACCCTTACCTCGCTTCCCCCGACCACAAGCTGGGGTTATCCCTCGTCCGGGAGCTGTTCTCACCCCTTAGCTCGGTTCCCCTCATCGGCAAAGTGGGGTTACCCCTCGAGAATGCGCTTTCCCTCCCCAATAAGCTGCCCTTACCACTTGCCACCCCTCGTCTTCTACATAATCCGTGGCTGCCACGTTCTTCGGCCCCTAACATACCCCTCGACCCTGTTTCCTCCTCGTCCATAAACTGTTCTTACCCTTACCTCGCTTCTCATTTTCAAGCTTGGGTTACCCCTCTGCTCTGTTCCCTCCTTGTCCACAAACCGTCCTTCCTTTCCCCCTCCACCCTCCACCTCCCCTTTCCTGTGCCCCATTCTTACCTCCCCACCCCCTTGCTTCCCCATCTCTATATTCTCAAGTCTCCCCCCCGCTTCCTCCCCTCCTTTTACACCCCCCCGAGGAAGTGTTGTTCCCCTAACCTTCCTTCGCCGACAAATTGAAGCCTTAGCCTTACCTCGCCTTGTTTCGTCCACCTCGTCCTAACCTCACCCCGTCTGCAAATTGTCGACACCCTGGTACACCTCCTCCCTCTGAGGGGTAGTCCCCCCCCCCCCCGGAACGCGAATCGTCGGCAAGACGAGGTGTTACCTCCTCCTCAACACCTCCCCCTCCCTCAAGGTGTTTATGGGCGGTGTACCTCGACACGCAACGCAGCGCTCTTATCCAGATGTGTCGTGATGCTTTCTGTTCAGACGTCACGTGACGTCACGTTACGTCATTTAACGCGAAGTGACGTTTAATGACGTCACGTGACGCCATCTGATTTATTATGACACGATATGGCGCCTCATGATCTGACACCTTGGGGCGTGATATGACGTTTTGTGATGCGATTTGACGCAATTTAACGGAACTTGACGGAAGCTGGCGTTTCCTCGCGTCTTCTAACGTCTTATAACTTCTTTTGAGTTCAAACGTTACGTGATGCCTTCTTATTTATTATGATGCGATATTATCACGCTTTCCGATAGAATCTAACGCCTTTCGACGTGATTTGACTCCTTTCGAGGTGATCCAACGCCTTGGAACGTGATATGACGTTTCGGAACGTGATCTGACGTCTTGGGATGTGATATGACGTTTTGGGACGTGATCTGACGCCTTGGACCGTGATCCGACTCTTTGGAACGTGATCTGACGTTTTGAGACGTGACCTAACACAATCTAACGAAACTTGATGCAATCTAACGTTTCCTCATATCTTCTAACGCCTTCTAACGTCTTACAATTTAATTCTGTTCAATATCACGTAACGTCATTTAACACTAATTCGCGTTTTCTGACATAACGTGACGCCTTCTGATTCCTTATGATGCAACCTGACGTCTTCCAACGATTTGAGGTAAAAAGAAACACGTCGAGGAATTTGATCTAAATCGGTAAAAAAGATTTGTTTAAATACCTACGTTGCCGACGTTCGTTTTTATATTGACAGCTGTGTAGAATTATATTGAATATTGTACTAAATGGCATACTTTATCTGTTGTTTTACTACAATAATTACAAAAAAATCGTTGTAAAACTCCAGAAATTCTCTGGAATTATGATTTTTGTGGCCCTAATTGACTGCAGAGAGATACCCTGCGCCATCTGCAATTTCTGTGTCAACTAAATTGTCACTCCGAGACCTCGTATTCCCATCGTCTTAGCATAGTATCGCATAAGACACTTTCTTTGCCTTTATCTCGTTTAAATGCGAGTTTATCGATTACCAGAGTGCCTTAAATTGTCCTGACACTTTCGTTTCTCATATTAGAGCCTTCAGTAATATTATATTGATCGAAATGTGACAGCTTGAAGCCATTTTGGTTCTGGTCTGGGCCGAGTTAACATTTTTTTTTTAAATCAAAATGTTGAAACTGTCAGGATAATTCCTAAGTGCTCACGAGTCATGTATCAAAGTTTCAGACGGTTTGATCTGATATCCTTAAAAAAGTGTCTTATTCGAATCAACTGATTTGAGGGGGCCCTCACTTCACCTTAACACGTCACCTACGTCACGCCCCTGCCCTTACCCAACTTTCTCCTTATCTGCAGCTCCCTCTCATTAATTCTCATCTGCGATACTTCATTACTAACAGTAATTAATGTCCCTTTTAATTTTATGCGTTATTAAGCGCGAATTTTCAGGTTAGTTTGTATTCGAGAAGTTTCTCGCTTCTCGTTTGAATAATTGCATAATTAGTCGTGATTAACCTCCTTCTCGAGAATAATCGTTACAAATGAGTCGCAAAGTTCATTAACGTTCCCAGCCGACATTTTTTTACTTCCCCCTTACTTTCCCTCTTCAAATGACACTTTCACATCCCCTTAATGTCGGTCACTGAACTAATTAATATTAAAAATAAGTTTTTCTAGCCCAAAATTTAATATGAAAATCGTGATAGTTGTCTACCTTATTTTTTCAATTAATATTTGATATATACTATGTAATATATGTATTCCACCATTGACGTCCACCATCGTACAAATTAATATAAAAAATACCACTTTCCCGCCTAAAATTTAATACAAAAATCCTGACCAGTTCATGAATAAATAGCTCGCCTTGTATATTTATTAAATATTTCTTATCTACAATGACGTATATAATATCCGTATTCCGCCATTAACATGGCCCACTGTACACCGTCCGCCCCGAATCCCGAAAAGCCCAAAATGGCGGCGCGCAAACACTCGTCGTCCTCTCTCTCCTCTCCCTCTGATCCGGAGAACTGGCATCGCGCCCTCTCCCTCCCTCTCTCATTCCGGATTCCATATTCCATTCCCCCCCTTTCTCGTTGCGGTCCATGCCAAGATCGATAAACCGACTCGCGGAATTTGACTGACTCGGGGATATAGATGGAGTTGTATGTATATATATATAGAGGGAGAGAGAGAGGGAGAGAGTGTGGGAGAAAGAGGAGAAGAAGGGAAATAAGAATTTAAAAGTAAAACTGAAAAAAGATAAAATTATAATTAAAAATAAATTCGTCAAAATTACAATTAAATCAATAATCGAAATGAATCCCCCCTCAAAACAGTCGCTTCGTTTAAGACGCTATTTTAAAGAATATAGGATCAAAATGTAGTAGTACAAAATATTTGTCTTATATTTTTAATACATTTAACAAATGTCAGACATTTTGTAAATATCTAGCAGACGTTTGAAATATTTGCAAAAGATTTACTTTCTTAAATAAGTAAAATATTCAAAATCAAACTTACATGTTTTGCGACCATAATGAAATAGCGAAACGAAGATATTGAACAAATTTGGCTCTTTTTTATATCAAATGAAGTATCTAATAATAATCGTCAAATAAAAAATATATTTTTATTATATGTTTTTAAATGACTTAAACTACATATGTTATGGAGACTTTCATCAAATACTTTAGATATCTTCAAATGAAATCTACAAGCATTTGAAAAAATCTGTCGTTTGAGATATTTATCAAAGATTTCATAAAATGTTTATAAATCATTCTGAGCTTTTAGAAAACGCGAAGATTAAAATCCAACATTATAGTAAAATACACTGAGCTAAACTAAAACAAAGTAATAAAAGAAATTATGGAATGAAATGAAATCGAAGAAAAATTACTAAACGTGAAAAATATCTAAGAAATAGGAATAATATTTAAAACGAAGCGAAAATAAAATCGTAAATCAAAATTGAAAATCAACTGCAAACCCAAATCGTGATAAAAATGTCAGCGAGGCGAAACCGAAACAGAAAATAAAAATAGAAGCAGAAAAATCGTGAAAACGCTTGAAAATTCTGTAAACGCTCCGACTCGTTTGAACTCCTTTCCGACCTCTTTTCCACCTTCCATTATTTCTTTTTCTTATTCCTCTTCTAAGAACCTCGCCCTATATATGTAAACACGGAACGCCGGCGCCTCTGAGTTTATATACGTATATATACGTATATATACGTGTGTGTGTATACATATATATACGGCTGTATGTAGATGCGTCTCTCTCCCTAGCATGGAAGGCCGCATTGGTTTATGTTCGTCACTCTTATGGGAGATCCGTATCGTGGTCTCTCTCGCTCTTACAGTAGATTCGCATCGCTCTTTCTCTCTTGCTCTCACAACAAACTCCCATCATTGTCTCTCCCTCGCTCTTATAGGAGAGCGGCATGAGTCCCTCCTCGTCGGTTTTACAGTATACCCGCATCGCTCTTTCTCTCTCGTACTTATTATGGACCCGCATCACTCTTTCTCTCTTATACTTACAATAGACCCGCATCATTGGCTCTCCTTCGCTCTTATGGTAGATCCGCATCGCTTTTTCTTTTTCGCTCTTACGATAGACTCGCATCGCTCTTTCTCTCTTGCGTTTATTATGAAAATAATATTCAAAAGTAAATGTTTTGCAAATATTTCAAATGTTTGCTAAGTATTTATATAAAATATACGACATATATTTTGTGCTCCTAAAGTTGTTACATTACATACAAACGTTATGTAACAGTTATATACTTGTTCTGTAACCATGTTTGATGTATATGTATATGTATATATCAATATAATTAATCCGGTTTTCTAATTAATTCCAGGTTTGTCTCCTAGGAGGCGCGATTGGAGAAAATTTCACCTCAGACGAGAATCTCGAAATGTCGGAGAGGAGAAATCGCGATAACAGGATACAGCTGCAAGTGAGTGACAAGGATTTGTTCATATTGTATTGATAAACACAATTTCCAGTTAATAACTTTTCTACAAACTCGGTGTACTGAATTGCTTTAAACTTCACAATATAAATATAATGAGTATAAGGAAGTTCATGGAACTCATGAAATTTCCATTTAAAAATTTGTTTATATATATTTTTAATTTGTTATAAAAAATGAAATTTCATGAGTGTCGGGACATTCCTTATGCCCTCCACATGTATATTGTAAAATTTGGAACTATTTGGTATATCCAGTTTGGAGAAAAGTGTCATAAACGAGACCTTAAGGACATGTTAAAGTGACGTCTCCATTCATGAAACTTTTCTACAAACTGAGTTTACTGAATTGTTTTAAACTACAATATAAATATGAAGAATATAAGAATGGTCTTGGAACTCATTAAATTTTAATTTTTTTATAATTTGTTATGATAAATGAAATTTCGTGAGTGTCGGGACCTCCCTTATAGCCTCCATATTCTCGTTGTAAAGTTTGAAACTAATCAATGCATCCAGTTCGAATATAAGTGTTATAAACAAAACCTCTTTAACGTCACTAACATCCCTTTAATATCGTGATTTATAAATATAATTTCCATTCCCCAATTCACGTCCATTAATCGTCCACTTTATGTTGCTCGGTGTACATAAACACGATTAATAACATCTCTCCTGCCCTGGTAAACAACTCCTCCCCCCACCACCATTAATCCTCCCGCTCCTGTTAATCGTCAGCACTCGACCCCCATTCTCCTTAAGTACGAGGTTACCCGAAGTGGAGTCGCAGTTCGCCGGCGACTTTCGACGGGAGAGGGTCACGTGGCCGCGAAATGGTGGGGGTAAGTGAAGTCGTGGAAGGGTGAAGGGAAGAAGTAGGTTGTCAAGAGGGGTGAGTAGAAGAGAGGGGCGGAAAGAAGGAGAGCAAGAGAGGAGTGGGGACATAGCCAGGGTAAGGTCCAAACGTGTGTATGTATACAGGGTGTAAAAGCTGGTAGTCACGGTTTATGCAGTGCTAGCCTTGTTGAAAAAAGAGTCGAAACGTCCTGTACTATTTTTTCCTACAGTGGATAATTTTCCTGTAATAACTAATTGAAGCACAGTCAATCAATCGCATTCTCCAACGTAATAAGACAGCCGAAGGGCAGCATTTCCGTTGGAGAACGCGATTGATTGGCTGTGCTTCAATTAGTCACTACAGGAAATTTATGCACTGTAGGAAAAAACGGTACAGGACTTTTCGACTCTTTTTTCTACAAGAATAGCGCTACATAAGCCGTAATCACCATTTCTGTGACACCCTGCATATATATACGTGGGTGGTTGGGGGGGTGGTATTTCCCACGTTAGAATAAGGTTAAGGGTGGAGGTAAGCGGTTTCTTAGTGTAAGGCGCTGAGTAATGCCGCGTCCATTTTTTTTTTACCTTGTTTTCGAAAAGGAAGGGATTCCTGTGCCATCTTTCTTTTTCTCGTTTCCACATAGTTTACATACCGTTATAGCCAAACAACCTGTGCACACTTTTCTCCCAACAGTCTTTTGCGTGTCTTCGAACAACAGCGAGTTTCTTGCCGGCGGTATCCTGTATTGACGTTCCCCGAAATAAATGCCTCGTTTCCGTACACGCGGAATCGGCGCGGAGCGCGGAATAAGCTGCTTCCAAGACTGTCCGTGTCTATTCCGTGTGGATGGAAATGAGCCCAAAGAGATATTCCTTTTACATTTCGTTGCCTACTTATTTTAATTTAGTGGCAGAAGTGATACATCATTCCGCGTCCCTGTCGCGTCCCTATCAGGTCCCTATCAGGTCCCTATCAGGTCCCTATCAGGTCCCCATCAGGTCCCCATCAGGTCCCTATCAGGTCCCTATCAGGTCCCTAACAGGTCCCTATCAGGTCCCTATCAGGTCCCTATCAGGTCCCTATCGTGTCCCTATCATGTCCCTTTCCCATCCCTATCCCGTTTATATCGCGTTGATATCGCAATCCTGTCGCATCCCTATCGCATCCCTACCACATCCGTATCGTATCCATATCGTGTCCGTGTCATGTTCGTGTCATGTCCGTGTCATGTCCGTGTCATGTCCGTGTCATGTCCGTGTCATGTCCGTGTCATGTCCGTGTCATGTCCGTATCGTATCCGTATCGCGTTGAAACAGCGTCCTTTCGCGCACGTACCGTATCCTTCCACGAACAAAAACTTGTTGCCTTTATATCGGGATGTTCATATAAATGTGTATCCGCATCCCTTGTCAGTGCTCCAATAGACATACATTTTCCCTTTCATTCCATCCTTCATCTTAACATTTAAATTTCGACTTGTTTCAATGTTTCATGTTTACTTTCGTCTTCATTTTCTTTTTTCCCTCTCCCCCCTTTCGGTTTTTCTCACTCATTCCTTCTCTCTCCCTCTCTCCCTCTTCCTCTCTCTTCCCCTCGCCCCCTCCTTCTCTTCATCTCTTTCTCTGAAATTCATTAGTTGTCTTTTTCTTTTCACGTTCCACTTAACCTACGTTTACAAAACTGGAATTCTCACGAAATTATTTAAGAAAAAGGAAAAGTCGACTCCTGGAATTCCTTCGCATGGAATTACGAAGGAAAAGGAAGAAGCAAATTTACATGACAAGTAACACGCTTTCTAGAAAGAAACGTAACAAATCAATTGTTAGGTTAGGTTAGTATTAGCAGGACCGGAAAGAAATCCATTACTTTTTATCTTAGTAGTAAGTATAAAAAATAATGGATTTCGTTTCGGCCCCCCCCCCCATTTACTTTAGTAGAGAAACACAATTTAAGGTTGATTTGTTATTAATCGTGCTTGAAAATGTTTTTCAATTGTTGAGAATATTACTGGATTTTATAGTAAATAACGTCTATTTTAAAGGAGTTTACCATTCTGGAATTGTTAGGTTACTTTTCAAATATTGTAAACTGAACAATTTGATACTGTAAATACCATTTTTGTTAAAGAAACGCAATTTATTTTTCGATTTACTGCAAATTGGTGGCTGCAAATATTTATTAATTGTTGAAAATACTACTGGATTTTGTGATAAACAATATTTATTGTAAAGGGTTTTACCATTTTGAAATTGTTAGCTTACCTTTTAAATATCGTTGAATCTTATTGTTCCACGGAGAGAAGATGGTAATATGAATTAGTTAACAATGTTGAAGGAACGCCAATTTATTGTTCGATTTACTGTAAATTGGGAGCTGCAAATAGTTTTTTTATTTGTCGAAAATTCTACTGGATTTTGTATTAAACAACATTTATTGTAAATGTTGGAATAGTTGGGTTATCTTTGAAATATTGTTAACTATTGTAAAGCATCCTCGGGTTTCGGAACCTTCGGTGAAAATTTGAATGATCATTTTCCTTCCCAAATCTCTCACTCCGAAATTCAGAACCGTCGCTGCTGCCTCCGGTTACGTATCAATCGAATTTCTCAGCGCCTCCCATATCACCTTAATTAACAATTTGAAGTCTTTGTTCTTGAGTCGAACGTAAATTAGCACGTGACTTAACAATGAAGGTTTCCACCTTCTCCATTGTTGCTGACCTTGTCATTTAGGTTGAAGAGGTCCTTCACTTCCTAAAGGGTAAAAAACGCCGATAAAGGGAACTCGAGACGACTCGATGCGAGGGGAATCGATTAATCGAAATATTAGAAACATTGCCGATTTAAATTTTCCGTAACTCCTCTAGTAGCACAAAATATTTTCCTTATATTTTCAGTATATTGAATACTAAAATGATCAAACATAAGAAATATATTAAAAGTCGAAATAATAATTTAAATCTAGCGAAAATAAAATTGCAAATCGGAATTAGAAATACAATCCAAATAGAAATCGTGATAAAAATGTCAACGTAGCGAAAACTAAAATGAAAATATCCGTATTAGCACAAAATATTTGTCTTATATTTTCTGTATATTTAACGAATATCGTATTTGCGAAACATTTACTTTAGAATATTAATTTTATAGTATTTGGATAAAATTAGCTCCACGTGTTTTCGTAATATTTTTCTTATAGATATCCAAAATGTTTTGTTTAATTTTATTATAAGTATTTTTGAAATAGTATCTGCCGAATACATTAAATATGTATTTTTATTATATGTTTATAAGTTACAAAATATAATTTCGATACACGTTTCTCAATTATTGAAACTAAATATCATATTCAAATTTTCAAGAAATATTTTAGACATCTTCAAATGAAATCTACGAGACGTCTTAAAAAATCTGTCGCTTGAGATAATTAGGAAAGATTAGAAAAAAATCTTTATAAATTATTCTGAGCTTCTAGGGAGTCAGTACACCCAATTCGGAGAAAAGTTTCGTAAACCAGAATCCTTTAACTCCACTTTCACATCACCTTAACACGTTCCGTGCCACGTGTACCACCGATAATGCGCATTTAACCTGGGGTGGTACACAGCGTGGCACGGAACGTGTTAAAAAAAGCGTATTCTCAAATCGATTGATTTGAGGAAAGTTCCACTTCGCCTTAAATGTTCAGTAATTATTGTCTAGACAGTAATGATATCGTTGTAAGTATTATCATCGTTAAATGGAGGTCGAAAAGCCCTCTCCCTTTCCTTTATAAAATTATTATCCGTTCCTAACCTCACTTTTTCCCACTTTCCGCAGTAAATTTGAATTGCCGCTCTCTTTGTGACGTCACGATTCTCACTCGCGCGTGACGACTTCAAAGAGACCGAATTTCGCGTATTTCGTTATTCGTTATTTTGTGTCCCGGGAAATTTCTGTAAATCTCGAGAGAATTTCTCGAGAGATTCGGAAATATTTTCCTTTGGAAATTTCGGACATGATTTTTATTCAATTTTAATGTTTCCTTCCTTTTTTGAATTTTCAGAATTCCTCTGCTTTTTCCTTCCTTTTTCAAATTTACAGAATTCATTAGCGTCTTCTTATTCCATCAGTTTTTAAATTCAGATAATTTATTATTTTTCTTTTTGATTCCTTCTTTTAATTGACAGAATTTGTTACGTTCCTTCCTTTTATAAATTTATAGAAATTATTATCCTCTTATTTTTTCTCCCTTTTTTAATTTATAAAATTAATTATTCTCTTCTTTTCCCAAGCAAAAAAAAATCGTTTTTCCTCCATTATTGATTCGATCACGTTTTCCTCTGTTTAACTTTTACAATTTGATATTTCGTATAATTTTGGAGTTTTGCAAACTGTTATTTCGTGTTTTTAATGCAATTCTTAACACTTTACAAATTGTACGATGCAACAATAATTATTTTGTGATACAAACCAAGCTTTGTTGCATTTATTCCGTTAACCGACTTCTCTTTAATTGTTAACATTCCATTACTCGGTATTTACATGAAATAGTTAACGGCCCATTGTAATACTCATTTTTTCTCTTCGTTCGATCTTTCCATTTGTTGATAATAATTAAAGAATATTTCTTTTGTAAAAGAAACTTCAAGCTTTCATGCATTTATTTCGTTTACCGCTTCCATTATATTCTTCACTTTTCCCATTTGTTGATAATAATTAAAGAAAATAAATTCGAAACGATAAAAGAAGGTCGATCGGAAATTGGTTAAATGAAAATCGATCGACCTCCATTATTGATTCGATCACGTTTTCCTTTAATGGTGGGCGTGACGCCATTAAGTAGAATATTAAATCTCGATTCTTCACTTAATGCCAATTTAACGGAAAATTTATTACTCGATCTTCCGTATCAATATGTAATAATATTTAGAACACTTTATATAATTTTCTGATTTCAGTATTTAATATCATATAAACTAACAATTCGATTTAATAATGGAAGAAACTTTTGTTATTTAACAAAAGCCAGCAATAATCCCGACACAAAATATTTGCCATATATTTTCTATATATTTAACGAATATCGTGTATTTTTTAAATATTTATTAGACGTTTGAAAATTTGGCAAAACATTTACTTTAGATTATTATTTTTATAATATTTCTATACTATTAGCTCCACGTGTTTTCGTCATATTTTTCTTACAGATATGTAAAGCGTTTCGTTTCATTGTAATATGAGTATTTTTTAAATATTATTTGCCGAATACATTGTAAACGCTTCGAAAATATTTAAAATCAACATCACATGTTATGCTACCATAATGAAATATTGCAAACATTTTCACGTCTTTTTTATATCAAATGAAATGACCAATAATAAACGTTAAAGTAAAAAATGTATTTTTATTATCTGTTTATAAATTAAAAAATATCAGTTCGATTCATGTTTATAAATCATTAAGACTAAATATGTCATTGAGACTTTCAAGAAATATTTTAGACATCTTCGAATGCAATCTACGAGACGTCTTAAAAAATCTGCCGGTTGAGATGTTTAGCAAAGATTGTAAAAAAAATTGTTAGAAATTATTCTGTGCTACTAGGGACATGTTTAAACGCTTTATTGTTGTTAATATTCTCGTTTTTCCATGTTAGGGAAATTTCGGAGAGTGGTCCAAGTGGTCTCCATGTACAAGGTATGTGAAAAACATGTACATGTTTTATTTCAATTAGATTTTCAAGAAAAGAAAGTTTTGTTCTTAATTGTGGAAGTTTTAAAATCACTGAATGAGTGGAAAAATCTTAATCAATATATTAGCGATTTTTGCAACAAATCATTAGTGAAAAATGCTGAAATTAGAATATTTATTAATGAAGAAGGTGAATTCTATTCATTTATAACTTCACTTTTCGACTCAGAGGAAACAAAACACAAACATTCAATATTTTAGCGAGTTTTGTAATTAATTACTAATGAAGAATGATAAAATTAGAATTTTTATCAATGAAAAGGGTGAATTTCGTTCAGTTTTACTTTAATTTTTCCAAGTTTTAGCAATTTATCTTCACGTACGAATATTTAAATCCGATATATTTGAAATAATCCTATCAATAAACATTCATATTCCTAATTTGTTTATTACTGTCAATAGATCCTGCGATGGAGGGATTTCGATGCAGCAAAGAAGATGTCGAAGAAAATCCTGCAAAGGAAGACCCTGGAATGTCAGATACAAAGTTTGCAATACTCACGTGAGTATAGACATATGAATAAATAAATATATAAATATTGTGATGTATCGGCAACATTTAATTTCTTTTCTTAGTGGCATTATATTTGTTAAAATTATTCACGCCAATTGTTATAAGATTTTTAAAAAAATGTTTAATTGTGTATCGATTTCTAATTTCCCGTTTTCTCTCTCCTGAGAGAGATAAAGAGCGATAAAAAGAAAAGAAAGAAATTCCGCTTTTTTCCCCCTTTCTCACTCTCTCTATATATAACGTGTAAATTGTCACTCTTGATATCCTTTCCCCCCATTTTATCGAGATTGCAGGATTGCTAGAAATCCTTTTTTATTCCCCCTCGTTCTTTCGTATCGATTTCATGCTTTCGATATCTCGTATCCAGGATTATTGCCCTAACCTCAATTTTTGATTCTCGAACATTTCCTAGTAGCACATAATATTGTATAAATATTGTTTCTAAAATAAATAAAACTTCACAAGCTTCACGTTCTTCCTCATAATTTTCATATATATTTTCAAGTTTAATATAATTCGATTTACCAATTTTGATTTAAGGCTGACTCTTTCATATCATCTTAAGGTGATATGTATATCTGAGTAGTATGTATATCTGAGAAGTCAAATCGTTGGGGAAAGTATCCTCCGAATAGGGTGTACCAATTCGTTTCCAGTTTTACCACGTGAATATGGCGGCCATAAGGTAGGTCCTGAAACACACGAAATTTCATTTTTCATAAGAAAAGTATTGATCTATCATGGACTATGACCAACATGGCATAATCCATGCACATTTTCGATATTTTATGCTTCTTGGAGGCTTAGAATCGAAAATGAAGAGTTCCAGGACGTAGCTCGAGCAGTTTACAATAGAATGCTGTAGAAATGGAATATTACAGCGTCAGATGGGAAAATATGGAAAATACTTTCACCAACGATTGCAAGAGATGGCAATGCTGGCTTGTTCCGTGGCTAACGCGTGTTTTTAGATTTTAGAAAAATATAGTTGCAGCTAAACGTCACACATGGCGACGTTCCTCCTAAGCAGTCGTTGGAATAATAAATCAACGGGATATCAACGATTTTATATCGATCTCTTCATCATTACATTATTGAAATGACATATGGAACACTTCAGTTCGTATAATTATCAACGTAGAGTGCAAAAGACTTCAACATAAATATAAATGTCGATAACGTGACGCGCCAACTTATGTTACCACTTGAGTATTCAAAATAATGTTACCGCCAAAAAGGGTATAGATCAATTTTAATTTATCGACCTCGATTAAATATCTCAGCGCCTTTCATATCATCTTAAGGGAACGCGAAAGTGGCGTCAAAGAGGTCTCGTTTATGAAACTTTTCTTCGAATTAAGTGTACCGAATCGTTCCAAACTTCAAAATGTGAACATGGAGGCTGTAAGGAAGGTTCTGACAACCTAGAAATCAAATTTTTCAAAAATTTGTTTATTTATGTTTTCAAACTTGTGTATAAAAAATGAAATATGATGGGTGTCAGGACCTTCTCTATGGCCTCCATACTCTCATCGTAAAGTTTGAAATGATTTGGTACACCCAATTCGGAGAAAAGTTTCATGAACCATTGACTTCCGGGTGCGGATCAGCGACCGGGCGGCGTCGCCGTAGGTCGACCCTTGCCAGAAAGCGCGAGGTCGCGGGTGGCTCCGTTCGGCCCTGATTCGCGTGGCCCTGGCGCCCATAGGCGGCGGCGGGGCGAGACTCCTCTGGCACTGCTACAGCTGGAGCAAAGGTCCCTCGCAGGCGCCCTTGTCCGAGATGTTGACGCTCCTTCGTGCCCGCACTTGCCCCGCCGCCAGGACGCCTTGATGGTTCTATCTAATCTATACGACTTACAAACTAAAAAATGTAATGAATAAAAACAGCGTAAATAAGCCGAGGAGTCTGCTTGGTCTCGAGCGTCGAGCGTTCTAAAAAAAGGTTTATGAAATAAAATAAAATGAAATGCTGTTTCCCTACTTTCGGCAATTATTTAATGCCTTGCCAAAATTGAGATAACATACTATCCCTGGGATGATCGACCACAAAGGGCATTGTCCCAATTGTGAAAGGTTAATTCGCAACTGAATAATTTGAAACTTCAGCGTGTGATTTTGAAAACTCGAAGGAAGATTGCGATACTCATCAAATTTCGTTTCTCAGTAAAAAATTGTTTTCATTAATTCCAGACTAGAACCAAGAATACATTTTTTTAAATGAAATTTTATAACCATCGCATTCTTTCTCATAGCCTCCATATTCACATTTTGAGGTTCAAAACAATTCGACACACGTATATAAATAAATTTTAGAACGTGTAATTTCATATTAAAATTCATTATTAAAATTCCACAATCATATCTCATATTCATGTATATCATCATATACACATTCCATACACATATATTTACATACATCCTATCCTCATCATACCTATACTGATATATCAACCATATTTGTATGTACATTATATACATATTTACATTAACATTAACCTATTTCTACATTCGCAGCTCTGCCCCTCCCTCTCCCCGTCCCTTTCCCCTCCTCCTTGCGCCTCCCTCTCACTGTCCTCTCCCCCCTCCCTGTTTTCTTGGTCCCCCCACCACGATGCCTCAAGACCATGCGCGCGTATCTGCCGCGGGCAGCCAATCAGAGCGCAGCTCGACGAGGAAACAGCCAATCAGGAGGGAGATATGGAAGAGGAGGAGGAGGAGAGGGGGGAAGTCGAAGTCGAGGAGAAAGTGGAAGATGGGACGAGGTGTGGGGAAGGCGGAGGAGGAGTTTGTATCGGAGGGGAGTGCTTGGTGAGTTTTTATTTAGGGAATTGTTAACGGTGGTAATGGTTTTTTTTTCATTGTTTAAGGGGATATTTGAGGGTGGAACTGAGTTTTGAAGACTTTACGCGATTCATGGCGAATTTTGGCAATTTTACGCGACTTTAGGAGCTGAGGGGTTAAGGCTGTGCGAAAGGGACGACAGAGGGCTCGTTTAGGAAAGTTTTATGCGAGCTGGATGTATAGATTTGTTTTAAACGTGAAAGTGTAAATGTAGTGGGTATGAGGGAGGTCCTGAAACTCGTGAAATTTCAATTCTTTTTTAATTTGCTTGTAGATATTTTCTAAATTTATTGTAAAAAATGAAATGTCATGACCGTCAGGACCTTCCTTATAGCTTCCATATTCCAGTTGTAAAGTTTTAATCGATTCGGTACACTCAGATATAAATAATAATGATTTACAATGAAAAGATATATCATTGCCTTTGAAAATAACAATTTTCAATAAAGTCGATTTAAAATCGGATTTTTCTTTGAAATTTCCATTGGACCCAATTCCGACTAATCAGCCTCCGCGTTTACACCGCCTCAGCCAATCACAGCTCGTTTCCCCTGCCGCAGCCCGTCGGCTGCGATCTGAGGATCGGGGAAAAGCAAATCGACCAATGCGGAGTCTGCGGAGGAAACGGATCGACTTGTCGAGAAGTCGATAGACGAATGGAATGGCGATTGGAGCCGATCGACGAGTGCTCAAAATCTTGCGGGGGTGGTGAGCAATTAACAATTCATTATTAGATAATAATAATGCCAGGAAAGGTTTAAAAATTGCAGATTTTAGCAAGGAGGAAAAAAAATCGTTAGGGTTTGAAGAAAATCTGTAAAATTTACGGATTTTTTACGTTCAAATTAAGCATATGAGATTATTACTGTTGCCGTTTCGATTAAGCTTTTGTTACGCAAATCAGTAAAAAGTGGAGATGTTTATTTATAACAATTTAAATATTTGGAAGGGTTACTCCACAGTTTTACTGTCAGATACTTTGTTTAAACAAATGTTAGTTTATTTAACTGACTTAATTCCCAAGACTTTCCATTTACGCGAATCCCATTTATTCTCCCATCCATATTTACCAGAGCAGTTCTCGATAGTTTCGAATGTTCTCCGCGATGGATAACAAGAACAAGAACAATCTCGTTTCAGGCAAACAACTCGCCGTCGCCGTTTGCACTTCCGTCAGTTCGACGGAAATCGTCGACGAGTCGAGTTGCGATCCCGACGAGAAACCAGAGAAGAAGATGGTAGACTGCAATGTGCATTCTTGTTCCACCAAGTGAGTTTCTTTTCTTTGCTCTGTGGGATTATTGCGCGTAACAACGCATCGAAATGCGTCAAATCTTATTCATACAATCTTCTGACATTTTTCTAATGTCGCATTTCACCCAAAAAAAATTCTAAAAATTAATAATCCTGATTAATATTCTTGTCATCTTGTTGTTGATTTCTTGTTTGTTTTCAGATGGATAGCGGAACAATGGAGCGAGTGCAGCTCTTCTTGCGGGGGGGGAACAAGAACAAGAAACGTACTTTGTATCGAGGAAGGCGGAAACGAAACTACTAACGAGGTGAGATGAGAATAAATATGATAATGTTATTAAGGAGTTGTTAAGGTGGCGGCAAAGAGTTCTCATTCATGAATCTTTTATACAAACTGGGTCCTTGTAACATATAATATTTTATAAATATTTTATTTAACGAAATTTCATGGGTGTTAGAACTTTCCTTATAGCCTCCATGTTTATGTTGTAAAGTTTGAAACGATTCAGTACATCCATTTCAGAGAAAGGTGTCATGAACTCTTCAGATGCTACTTTACATCCCTTTAATTTGTGTTTGTTTTTAGCTGCCGGAGGACATGTGCGACGTTTCACATAAACCTAAAGAGAAGGAGAGCTGTAATGCTGTATCCTGTCCCATGTGGGAGATTGACGAATGGAGTCACGTGAGTTTGTTAAGTATTTAGTGCGTGTAGATACAGATTTAGTTCCGCATTTAATTAGTAATACGATAATAATTTGCGTAAAACCCTCCCTCAATTTACGCGGTAAATTATAACACGATTTACTAGTAAAATGGTAAAAACCTTTACTATAAATTACTATTTTTACTTTACTTTACTACAAAGTTCGTACAAAAGCCAGTAACATACTGAATAATTAAAAAATATTTGCAACCACCAATTTACAGTAAATCAAAGTATAAATCGCGTTCCTTAACAAAAATGGCATGAACAATCTCAAATTGTTCAGTTGATTATCTCTTTCTCTCTCGTTGTCAGTGTATGCCGTACGATTCCCTCTGTTTCATTCTTGTATGGCCCCCTCCCATTCTATCCGGACCATGTATATACGAGCGCGCTCGGCTCTCTGCTCAGTGTTCGGCGAGCTGCGGTCTCGGATGGAGCACCAGACGCGTGGAGTGCAGAGATGCGGAGGGGCAGCTATCTTCGGACTGCGACGAGGCGGATAGGCCCAGGGAGGAGAAGGAGTGCAGGGGGGACTGCGACACCGGTCAGTATATATACAGGGTTATTTGGTTTTATGCCAACACGAAATGTAGACGTATCGTATACGTATACGTATATTAATACATTCAGTGCCGAAACAAATGACGAGTACACTGTCGTACACCAACCGTGGGGCGTATACGCCCCACGCGGCACGGAACGTGTTAACTATCTACAGATATCTATAAGATGTATAAACAGGACTATATATTATACGTATATTGACCATCCTATAAGATGTATAAAATAAGGCTATATGACCGTCTAATATATGTGTTTCTGGTAACTGTATATGTAAGAAAGTAAAATGAATTGGATTAACCCGTTAATGGGACAATTTTTAACCGTATCGGGAACAATAATTTTGAACGGATAGGCTTCTGTAACTTTAAGGTGTTATGAAAGGATCACTCTATGCATTAAGGTGATATGAAAGTGGCGTCAAAGAGGTCTCTTACATGTATAGAATAACCCTTTCATATTACCTTAAGGCTCTTATTTTTCTCCGTGTATACTCTTTTTTTTTTTATATATTAAAGATGGCGAATCCAGTCAACCAGCTTTGCAGTCTTTCCCTCCACCGCCGATACCGGAGAAATTAATAGACCAGCCAATTCCCTCCGAATCGACGTGAGTTTATTTATAATTAATTATTTAATGATAATGACAATGAGTCTCGATAACATAGAGGCTATAAGGAAAGTTCGGATACCCATGAAATTTGATTTTTTATTATACAATTGTTAAATATCTATAAATCAATGTTTAAAAAGTGAAATTTGACGGATGACAGGACCTTTCCTACAGTCTCTGTATTAAATTTGAAGTGTTTGAAACGATTCGATGCTCCCAGATTAAAGAAACTTTTGGCAAGAATACGGTTTCCGTGGCGTCAAGGATTGACACTTGATAATGGTTGTGTACGATATGAACAAACATCATCTCAAAGGAAACGTTGATATCTCAATTAGTTTGGGAGATATTGATTATTTTCTTTGATTTTAGACATATTAATTGTTTAAAATATCTGGAATACAATACGTGATACAATAAAATCTCATACAGCCTTCTCGATAGAAAATGTGATTCCCTACAAGAAAGATGATATGCTTTTTTATCGTATCTTGCATAGCTTTTTAGATATAATGGATTCAGTTGAAAATGTCTATTGACACAACAATTATGTCAAATTATTCGAAGAAATATGTAAGATACTAGAGAACACAATAGAACCTTTTTTTGTAGGGAATTCAATTTTCTACAAAACTGCTTCTATGTATTTTTTTTTGTATTATTTTATTATATCTCGCACAGTATTCCAGGTGTTAAAACAAAATTTAATATCTAAATTCAAAGAAAACAATTAATATATCTCATACTAATTGAGATATCAACTTTTCCTTTGAGCTGATGTTTGTTCAGATCATACACAATTATAATCAAGTGTCAAACCTTGGCGCCCCGGAAACCGTAATCTTGTCAAAAGTTTCGTACATGAGTCTTACACATCCCCTTAAGGTGATAAGAAAGTGACGACACAGAAGTCTCGTTTATTGAACTTTTTCTCTGAACTTTCTGAACTGGGTGACTTGAATCGATTGAAACTTTACACTTTGAATATGGAGGCTATAAAGGAAGTCCTGACATCCATGAAATTTCCAATTTTTTTTTAATTTGTTTATAGACATTTTTAAAATTTTGTATAAAAAAATGAAATTTCATGGGTGTCGAGACCTTCCTTATACCCTGCACATTCACATATTAAATTTTGAAACGATTTCCTACACCCAATTCGTGGAAAAGTATCATAAACATTACCACTTTGACGTCACTTTCACATCCCCTTAAAGTATTTGAAGAAACCCTTGTCTAAAATTAATAAATAAATCCCCGCCACTATAATTATATTATGTCACATTAAAAACGTCTTTTACATATTCCTCAATCTAATGCTTAATCAGAATTCCTGAAAAAACCTGAAAAAACCTGAAAAAACCTGAAAAAACCTGAAAAAATCCTGAAAAATTCCTTCTTTCATCAATAATTCTGTCTTCAAGCTTCATCCCCGAGGACTGGTCTCCCTGCAGCGCGACCTGCGGCGAAGGAGTTCGTCACCGGGAAGTACGCTGTAAAATTTTTCTGGAATTCTCCAGAACAGTCGCTGAACTTCCGGACCGACAATGTTCAGGTCCAAAACCAGTAGAGACCGAGAAATGCGAAATTCAGCCCTGCGAGTTCCTGGAGAACGAATTGTACAGAATGGACGGCGGTTATGAGGAGAACTTCAAGGAGAACTTGAAGGGCTACGAGGGAAGTGTTAGGGTTGCTGCCGGAAGTGGAGTGCAGACTACTTATTCCTGGAAGGAGATGGGGTACACTCATTGCAGTGCTACTTGTCTGGGAGGTGAGGATTGGGAAAGGAAAATGGTGATCGTCTTAAGGTGGGATGAGAAGATCATTTATATTTATGAAACTTTTCTCCAAACTAGGTGCACCAAATCATTTCAAAGTTGAATATGTGATTATGGAGATTCTAAGAAATAATGTGGTGCTCATAAAATTTCATAAAAAAAAATGTAGCTTTGGTTCTAGTCTGGGATAAATAAAACATTGTGACGAGCCGTATCGCTCGGACCCATACGCCTGAGTCCAACCTACCCAAAACGCGTGAACAGTTCGACCGAGCACCGTAGAGCAAATGCGATAGTATGCACCGCGGCCGCTATGCGGCGACCCACGGCCCTTGTCTCCCGCAGGCGCGCCAACCTCACGGGATATACGAGTTTCAAATGATTCAGTGAACCCAGTTTGGAAGAAAGTTTTATCAATGTTTTGACGTTTTAAATACATAGAATGACCCTTTCATATCACCTTAACAATTTGTTAATTTATTTTCCAGGAGTCCAGGACCTAATTATTACTTGTGTAAGGGACGATACGGGGAAAGCTGTGATGCCATTGTTCTGCACTCAGGAAACAAAACCAGAATCCCGAATAAGGACTTGCAATGATCATCCTTGTCCTCCCAGGTAAGGGTAATTTTTAATAAATTCCATCAGCTCAATTGTCATTAGGTTAGGCTAGGCGGAATAAATAAAAAAATAAATAATGTTTAGAGCGGGGGGTATTTATTCAGGAAATCGTGGATTTTGATACTCAAAATCACATAGATGTCACTGGAAATCGTTGCAAATCATTAGAAATCGGTGGAAATCGTTAAAAATAGATGGAAGTCATCTAAACGCTGTTACAATTTTAAGACCGAACGTCACTTTTTACTGAATCGCATTGTTTATCATTAAAAAAAAATCAAAGGCAACTGCGAGCGGTTATTCACTCAGAAAATCATAGATTTTAACCCTGAAAATCCCCCATTCCGTCCTAACCCCTCCACAGGTGGAACTATAGCAAATTCTCGGAGTGCATGTCGCCCTGCGGAATCGGCATCCAGACTCGTGATGTCAACTGCATCCACGAGGTGACCAGAGGCGCCGCTAATGCGGTGCCCGTGCCGAGCCACATGTGCCCCCAGCCTCCGCCAGTGGACAGGCAATATTGTAATGTCTGGGATTGTCCGGTTAAGTGGAGGACCGGGGAATGGAGCAAGGTAAATTAATCCAATATTCCTTAAGATATTTACGCGTTTACATGTACTCAAAGACGTTTATAACCTTGTAGATAAATATATACCGTACATTTGTATCATCCTCCGTATTGGAAACATTCAATTCTAAACAATTTTGTGTACAAGCGCTAAATTAATTAAATATTCCTTAAGATATTTTCGTGCTTATATGTGTTAAAACAGATTTATAACTTAACGGATATAGATATCGTACATCTGCGGCATCTGCCATTTTGGAAATGTACTTTATTGGTTCTCTACGATTTTCTACAGTAAACTACATGGTTTACGTAATATACATGAATAACCTCGAAAAATTCGGAATTACCCAACCCTGTGGCCACGTAATCACAAGAAGCCGGTTGGACACGTCGTCACGTGACGTCATGAGCATTGCCACGTGATCATGTAAAGTTACCATGGAGACCTGACACGAACAGATCGTAGACGTATAATACATGGACCGCTCACTCCTTATGCTTGAATACAGCTTTGATTGGATCTAATAGAACGGTAAGAGAATGAAAACTGGCCCGATCGGGTCTACGCTTGTCTGCGCAACAGGAGTTCGCAGTGAAGTAATTTGCGTACATACATATATATATATATATATATTGCTGTCAACCAACTGTCAACAATTTATTGCGCATTCGACCTGCGCACACAAGCATAGACCCGATCGGGCCGCTTCTCGTTCTCTCCCCGTTCTGCAGGCGGCCGATAAGCAGTCCATGTATTATGTTCGTAGAATAGATAGTAAAGAAAAAGTAAATAAAATAAAATAATGTAACAAAATTACGCATTATTCTGCAGTGCTCCCACACCTGCGGAGGAGGGACGAAGACTCGTTCCGTGATCTGCGAGCAGGTCATGGCGCAGGGGAGGGTGCAACCCCGTCCCCCTTCCTCCTGCCCACGTCAGAAACCGGCGGTTCACAAACCTTGCAACACGGCGCCATGCCACTCCGTCGGCCCCGCCCCCCGGCCAATCATAACGCGGGAGAACGGCAGCTTCGACCAGGTGAGACATTTATATACTCTCTTTGTCCTTTGTGACAGTGTTGCCGATTTAAAGTATTTTACAATGAATCTGGATTTTGTAAAACCTATTTAGTGCACTGTTGCCAATTTAGCGTGCTTACCGATGGATCTGATTTTTTAAAAATCTGTTTAGTGCAGTGTTGCTAAATCTGGATTTTCTGAAACCTGTTTAGTCCAATGTTACCAATTTAGCTTATATTCCGATAGATCTGGCTTTTCCGAAGCATCGAAATAACCAATGATTATGTAAATTTACATGGGTATTTTTAACAGTGCAGGATTATTTAACCGAAATCTGTTTACAGGAGAACGTCAGGACGAAGGTCGACGTCAAGGTTGGGGGAGAGGCCAGGGTGTTCCAGGGGACGAGGGTCGTCAAAATCAGATGTCCCGTCAGGGGATTCAACAGGTTAGAATAGATTTTCACCACTACCCTGACTACGTCTTGCGACGGAGATCCCGCGCCCGCGGCTGCGATTCGCAGGATCGGTGTTCCGTCGTCAAACCTTTCACCGAAGTCCGGATCGGGTAGCGGAATCGCTTCCCCGATCCTGAAAGGGTACTAGTCGGGTTTCACCGCTCGACTCGCCATTTTACCGATTTCCCTGTCCGACCGGCTAGCTCCCTGCTAATCGGAAAGGAGGTGGATGGTAGAGTCTGCGCAGTGAAAACTCTGGAGCCATAAGCAATAACCAACCAACCAACCATAGTGAAAGTTATGAAATAGCAAACGTTCACTTCTAGAATTTTCACTAAATTCGAATTATAGAATTGACTCCTAGAACGTCAGATAAAGTAATTGCAATATCTCAGAATTTTAGAAATACCACTTGATTTTTGAAAAATAACGTCACAATTGTAAGGGGGCCTCGCGAGGAGCTATTGCTCCGAATGCGAGGTTCCTCTGCAGAACGTCTGCGAGACTCCGCGACCTCGCGGAGGACCCGGAAGGAAGTGAGCGTGGTGACGGGGGTCGTCGCGATCCGACCCCTTAGTCTGCGTCGAGCCCGCACTCGAGTCTCGATTAGCAGTTGTCCGCTGGAAGTAGAATTTCCGAAGTTGTTGAAGAGGTCCGTTTCGACCTCAGGGTAAGCGTCGATTTTCGTCCGAGACGGTTCGGTGAAGCGCTGTGCGGGCGTGCGTGCGCCGGAGACCTACGGGGACGGTGGCGGAGTCCACCCCCAGGCCGGCCGCACGCAGAAACGACCGGGACCGGGCGCCCGAAGGGAGTGCTTCGGGGGCGGTGAGTCGCGTACGGCGGAGTTCGTTCAAGACGTTAGGAGCCCCCGCGGGAAAACACTCGCGCCGCCTCGTGGAAGGTTTGAGGGCTCCCGAGTGAGGGAGATACGCGGGCGGGCATTGGTCTCGCCTCTGTACTTTGGGCTGGTTTTTTACTTATTTTCTTTAAATCAAATTTACGTATAGTCTATATGGCGGGTTTCTTTCCTCGTACCTTCCCTTGTCCTTTCTGCAAGCGCCCGCAGTAGCCAGAAGCCACCCCCTGTCCGACTAACAGAGAGCTAGCCGGTCAGACAGGGTAACCGGAAAAAGAGCGAGTCGCCCTTGGAGAATCGGAGAAGCAATTCCGTTACCCGATCCGAATTTCGGGAAAAGGGGCTAAGTTTGTCGGCGGACTACCGGTCCTACGATCCGAAGTTGCTGACCGCAGGATGGGTAGCCGTTGCACAATATATAAATGTAAATATAATATATTATTTGTTAACTGTTTTAGATCGAGAATTGTGTGGATGAAAGATGGAAATGACCTCAAGAAATCCAGACGACTCAAAATCAACAAAAAGGGAGCTTTGAGGATATTCGATGTCAATTACTCCGACAGTGGAACTTATACTTGCATCGGTATATGTTAATTAATTAATTAATTAATTAACTGACACAACTATCGGCATGAGATTGTCAATTCTTATTTACATTTGTTTTGCATTATTAAAGCTGGCCAGTCGCAGGCAGATTTTCACCTGCGAGTGAAAATTCCTCCCAGAGAGCAGATGAGCAGCGAAGAAGTTCTTCGGTTTGGAAATACAGTTCAACATCAACAAAATGTTAATTTGGAGTCGAGTCAGAACTCGGATGAGAGTCAACGAATCAGCAGTGCAGGTAAATAAACAAATATATAAATATGAAACTGTCTCAATAAAAAAATTATATTTCCTGTTCTAATCGCGTCGCTTCGCAATTTCATGTTATAGCGATGTAAACTGGTGTCAAAAATGTTTTATTTCAGAAACTTTTCTCAAAATTAGGTTTACTGAATAGTTTCATACATGGAAATGTGAATATGGAGGGTATAAGAAGGGTTGTAAAACTCGCAGTTTCATTTTTTATAACGAATTAAAAAAATATCGACGAACAAATTTAAAAAGAAATTGAAATTTCATGAGTTTTAGGACCTTTCATATTTATATGGTAAAGTTTGAAACGATTCGGTATAATTCGGAGAAAAGTTTCATGAATAAAACATGTTCGATGCCACTTTCACATAACCTTAAAAAAAGCGTTATATTTGAATCGACCGATTTGAAGAAAGTTCGACATCACCTTAACTCTTTGAGGTACGGTGGTATTAAAAACGTCCCACCTTTTAATGCATGAATATGCACGGTGGGATATAAATTCCGTGGCTCAAAGGGTTAAGAGGATATGAAAGAGTCAGCCTATATATATATCCGAGAAGTCAAATCATTGGGGAAAGTATTTTCCAAATTGGGTGTACTGATTTGTTTCAAATTTTACCACGGGAATATGCAGGCCCTAAATTAGGTCTGAAAACACAAGAAATTTCATTTTTCATAAGAAATGTATTGATGTATCATGGACTAGAACCAACATGGCGTAATCCGTGCACGTTATCCATGTTTTACGCTTCTTGGAGGCTTAGAATCGAAAATGAAGAGTTTCAGGACCTAGCTCGAACAATTTAGAGTACCACAGAAATGGAATATTACAGAGTCACATGGGAAAATGTGGTAAATACTTTCACCAATGATTGCAAGAGAATGCTGGCTTGTCCTGCGGTTAACGCATGTTTTTAGAGCAAAAATTTAGTTTGCAGCTAAATGTCTCAGATGGCGACGTTGGTTCGTTAAAACAGTCATGCATTCATGGGGTTTCGGCTGTTTTATATCGATCTTTTTATTATTACTTTACCGAAATGACATATAGAACCCTTCAGTTCATATAATTCTCAACGTAGACTGTAAAAGACTTCAACATAAATATAAATGTCGGTAATGAGACGTGCCACTTGAGTATTCAAAACGGCATTACCACCAAAAAGGATATAGATGAATTTTACTTTATCGCCGTTAATTAAATTTCTTAGCGCCTTTTGTATCCTCTTAAATCTTCAATATCTCTTTATTAATTATTATCATTGTCTACACAGTAATATCTCTGTAAGTATTATCATCGTGAAATGAAGGTTGAAAAGATCTCTCCCCTTCTTTTAGAAAATAATTAGCCTTTCCTAACCTCACTTTTTTCGCACTTTCTGCAGTCAGTTTCCTTCCTTATATCTTCCACATTCACATATTACATTTCGAAACGATTCCCTACACTTCATTCAAAGAAAAGCATCATAGACAAAACATCTTCATTGCCACTTGTGCATTCTCTTAAGAGTACTATAGCACATTACAGCCTAAACATTACATATGTAAATAAACAATATCCATCAATCATGTATTAATTATCTTCAGCTGCGGCTCATGTTCCCTTTTCATTCGGAAGTGACGATCTTAGTCACGAAGCTCGACCCGAAGGATCGATCCTGAAAAAGAGACCCAGGAAGACGAAACAGAAACCAAGTCCTCTTCCTCCGGAGTCGACAATGGGAGGGGAAAATTCTGTAACTTCGATGCATGAGGTACGATAAAGGATTCGTTAAATTGGAGGTTAATTTCTACGTTTTAAGATTAATTCTTATCTGTTTAACTACACATTCACCCCTCTGTAAGCTTAATTGTGAAAATTGATTTAGTTTTTGCAAATGCTATTCTAACCTCAATTCTATTACTTCTTTTTCTCACTTGAACACGATTTTGAGGTTAACTGTCTTTTACAATAAATTTCATATTCACAATTCGCATCCTATCTTCAATTCTAATATTTACACTCCTCTTTTTCATTTTAAGGTTAAATCTATTTTGAGATCAACTCTCATTTCTTTAATTACATTTTTCCCCATCTAGAAATCAACTTCCTTTAGAAATCGATTTTATTCTAATAATTCCCAACCTACTTTCCATTCACAGTAGCACTTGGTTGCACTTTCTCCCTGCTATAACTGTTCTAAACTCACTTTAGTATTAACACTTGTCTTTCGCAACTTTTTCCCGTCTTTTAAATCTTCAGCCGGGATTTCATGAATCCGTCGAGTCGACTGCGACTTCTGGAGCTTCGAGACTTGCCCCTCACTTGAACAGACTAATTTCTAACCTAAAAGTGAGTAGTCAAATGAACTTTATTTATTTATTTATCTATTTATTTATAGAGTGTGTGAGGAATTAATTATGTATGCTTTTGATTTTAAATATTGACTGAGAATATTTATGTCCACCGTTGCATACTATTTATGTATTGTTTTTAATAATGGACTTCATTTAAGTACTTTGAAGTGTATTTATAATTTCGTTTTCGAGGAATTTTGGATTAAAGCCTGAATTTTGTTATGCTTTTGATCTCAAATATTTGTTCGCTATTGTACAACGTTTATATATTGTTATTAACAATGGGCTTTAATAAAATTAAAGTGTACAGTCACAGACATTAAACTTCAAATTATATTTTCGTTTTTCAGAAATCTGAATTAAAGCCTTAATTTTGTGTGCTTTCGATTTTAATATTTATTTTCACCATTGTACAATATTTACATATTGTTATTAACAATATACTCTACTAAAATAAAATTATAATTTCGTTTTTCAGGAACTCTGGCCATTTCAAAGTGATTCTCAGTCTGCAAAAAACACAAAAAAAATAACATCTGCGTTAAGTTTAACAAATGTTTCCGAGGTAAACAATTCGAGAAGTGAAGAAGATGAAAATATTCAAAATGAAGAAAATGGCGATAATGCAAATCCTGAAAATATTGAAAAAAATGAAAATCCTGATAATGTTGAAAAACGTGAACATATTGAAAATGAAGAAAATGAAGAAATTGAAGAAAATGAAGAAAATGACGAAAATGACGAAAATGTCGACAATGCCGAAAATGTTGAAAATGTCGAAAACGTCGAAAATGTCGAAAAACATGAAAATTCCGAAAATGAAGAAACGAAAAAAGCGAATCAAGAAATTGAGAGAAATTACGATTATTATAAGAATTTTAATTTCAACATTAATGCAAATAATGGTAACAATACCGAGTTAACAATCCACGAGTTAAATGTTAAAAATTCTTCGGAATTTCCGTTAAATTCGATAAGTTTGAGTTTTAATAATTTTGAGAATTTTAGCGAAATTAATCTTTTTAACAAGTCGGAGAAATTTGAAAACTCAAGAGAGGATTTGGAGGATTCAAATTCGACGGAATATGGAAATAAACTGCAGAAAGGTTAGTTAATTATGTGTTTATTTATTATTTACCTGTACCGTAAGTGTGTATTGTTCCTAGTAGCACAAAATAGTTACATTACATTTTATGTATATTTAACAAATATTGGGCGTTT